TGCCCCCCCCGCCCAACCGCCCCCCCTGCCCCCCCCGGGCACCCCCGCCTTCACTTGGTTATTCGCAGGCTACCGCGCCACAGGGAGACAGAGCGACACAATTACAGGACAGCATTTCCCGGCTATGTCACCTGAAATCGCTTGAATTTCAAAAGTGACGGCCACTGAGAAGGCGGAGCAGGGACAGATGGGTATTTGTGCTTCAGGAATGCACGGGTCAAAGGATCAGGTCAGATTTCAGACCAGTCCAGTCTGTTTTTTATTTACTTTATCGTTCGACCATTGTTGATGAGGAACTTTTGGTCAGAAACGAAGAGCAGATTAGTAAAGACGTGCCGCTGTGTCCTGCAGGACACTGCATCACACTTTATATTCCTTTGATTGAACATTACACACACACACACACACACAAATACAAAAGACATGGAATGTGCTTGCTAAATTCATATTCCACGCCGCGTGCAGTCACTGTACACAGAGACACAGACAAAGGTGAACACCGGTTTAAAATGAACTACAACGAAGAGAAACACGCACACGCACACACACACACACACACACACACACACACACACACACACTGAACTTTGTCCTTGAGAGGATCCAGGACCTGGTAATCATATATATTCATTCATTCATATGGGTGGAATACATTTGCGCCATATCTGCTCAACTTACTGCTGGAGCACTGAAAAAAAAAATAGTGGAAAAAAAAAAGAACAAAGGGGAAAAATATAGTGAGTAAATTAAAATTTTAACCTATTTTTTTCTGCCTAACAAAACATAAAAAGTTAAATCTTTATTACAGTAAATTGCGTGGTGTTCTTTAATTCACTTTTGTTATAGTTTATGAGGTGAAAACAGATTTACTCATCAGAAGAAAAAGAGAATCATTTTATGGCTTCGGCAGTGAAATATGTAAATATGAATTTTGTCTTTTACTTCTGTCTTGCATCCAAACAAAATCTATACAAAAAGCTCAAATCCAACACACAATGTTCTCCTGGGGAGCGTTTATTTGTACATTTGTATTAATCCTACATGTATAATTATCAAAGGAATTTACATAGAGCCTGTAAAACAAAGGAAAATCAATGGCTTTGTGCTTTTAATTTGTGTTTCTGCACTGAAGCCTTCCAGCAACAGCCTCCCAGAGCAGTGTACAAAACATTTTGGGAATTGCAAAGCACAAGAGGTCATGGAGGAGCAGAAGCAGATAATGGTGAAAATGAATCTGTATTTCTCTTTGTAAATGCCTTTTTAAATTAGTGCAGAAAATACTGATTTTACACATACAACTGTGGTACAAAAAAATACGCAATTTGATGTGAAATTATAATCATTTTGTTGTCTGTGTTTCTTAAGGACAGATCACAGGTCATTTGAATACTTAGAGTACAGTACTACTAGTACTACTACTACTACTACTACTATTACATACTAACATGATCTAGAAAATGAGCAAAAATATTTGTGCAATTATATATACACACACACACATATATATACATATACATATATGATTCTTATATCTTACATACAGACATACACATACTGTATATCTTTTTAAAATTATTTTTCCCCCGAATTAGAAAAAAGTATTTCTGACTTGTAGACTTTAGGTTTTTTTGATACTCTTCCAGCTTATACAAATACTGTATGCAGTAAACAAGAAAAACTGAAATTTAACTACAATCAAAAACAACCTACTTCAGAACAACTGAGATACTGTGCCAAGTGTGTCTCATGAGGTAAGAACGAAACAAACAAAATTTTTAAAAAAAACCTAGTGGAGAGGAAGATTTCTGCAGCTGTTTCATCCAAATCCATAATTTATTGCTGGGAATCCCACAGTCTAGATTACACCCAATCTAGATTACTTCTTACCCCTGCACACACACACACACACACACACATATATATTTATGTGTGTGTGTGTATGTGTGTGTGTTATCTAGTACGTGTGTTTGTGCAAGTGTATTTGTCCATATGGCATAAACAATCCCCGACTCCTGTCAGGAACACAAAGTGATCCATCAGTTTCTCCACAGAAAACCAATTTCACTGGAGATGTTCAGTTTTTTTCCTGGACACAAACCACCTATCTTTGCAGGCATACACTGAAGGAAGGAAGACAGAAACCCACATGAACCGAACAGCGAGAGAAAGTAAAAAGGATGGTGAGGAAATAAAACGAAGGAGAGGAGGAGACACGGAGCAAAATTGAAAGAGAAGCTGGGAAGGGATGAGGACAAAACTAAGGGTCCAGGTTTTGCTGTGTTTAATGGGACACGCTGTTACTTTCTGTGTCACGAGTTCAATATAGTGGAGAAAAATACTTCATCCATTGTCCCACACTCACAGGCACAGGCAGTGGACGCGCGAGGCCTGTCAAATACGCTTGACGTGAACGTTCCAAAAAAAGGAAAAAAAAAAAAAAAATCTGTTTCAGTCCATACGCTGTGGTGCATGTCATTTAAATAATAAACAAAGTTAAGAAAAAAAGACTAAAAGGCAAAAAAAAGGTTTCTCATTCTTGACGGTTTAAGTTTAAATTGTGGAATTATGAACAAGAAATAAGGCGGGATTTGACTGCGATGAAGTAGACAGATGACAACGTAATTATAGAGAGGCTTCTCATAACACGTGATTAAACAAACAATGCATGTCGTCTCCTCCTATGGTCCCCGCTGTCAGCATCTTTTTGATGAGCCTGCATCCTTACGGCCAAGGACGGCACTGCATTTGTTCTGCTCAAAGTGACAGGAAGGGTTCACATGCACCGAGAGCATGGCTTGGAATGGTTTAGTAAATAAAAAAAGGGAAACACCCAATAAGTGGGTCACATTATTATTCCATCCAATCCATCCAGCCATTCATTTTTTTCAGGGTCACATGAGGAGCTTGAGCCAATCCCTGCAGTCATACAGTAAGGTGAGGGGGGGCATTACATGAAAACGTCCATTACAGAGCCACAAAAAGAGTCTAATATCCATATGGACTGTTTGATGAATCAGTACCATACATATAGTACCATAAGTACACATACACAGAGAGAACACGCAAACTCCGTACAGGAAAACAATGGTCAAAGCCAGCAGGGCTCAGACAAATCATGTCCTCGCTGCAATGCAACAAACAAAAACCAAACAGAGATCCTACTGTTTTGAGGTAAGGTAAATTCCAGCTTGAAAAACTTCAAAACATTTCACATATATTTGAATCCATCATCAGTACACCCTATGTTAACCAGCTGTTACCTCCAAAACAGTCTGAAGCCATGTGACCCAAAACCTCCTTCCTGCTCCTTCACATTCAGCAGTGAGTTGACTGAGAAACTCATCAAAAATGAGCCACAACCAGTCCCTGCTGCTAAAGACCAACTCTCTGTGACAATCATTCAACACCAAGTCTCAAAATCAACACACGTCACAGGTGAAGCTCCTAATTTAAGAATCTCCTACGGTATTAAAAGCACCACAGGTAAATCCTACAGCAGGTCAATTAAATAACATATTAAATGCAATAAAAATGACTCACCAAAAGAGAAGGGACATAAACTGAGAGCTGCTCCAATGAGGACAAACACAGGAAGTAAAACATCCAATGAGGAGCCAGCACCAGAGAACAGGAGTGGAGGCTGTGTGAGGAAGTGCAGCCACAGGTGTGACCAATCAACACAGGTGAAACACATCAGGAAGAAGACAGGGCAATCAAGGGAAAACAACGGCAGGACACAACAGAGGAGGGGACGGGACATCAAATAATAATGTTAGACAAAAATATTTGATTTTAAATTCAATAAATGCCCACAGCACTGATTCAGCACTGGTCTAGGATCAGAGGATGTGTTTTTTTTTAGGAGTGTGTTGCAGACTTAGGTCTAGGATCAGAGGATGTGATTTTTTTTAGGAGTGTGTTGCAGACTTAATTTTCTAAATTCAATAATATGAATCACAAGTGGAGTTACATTTGTTGGAGGAAAAGACAACTTCTACTATCTTTTTCTGTCCCTTTGCTTGTTAAACAGATATTCAAACAAGCCAGAAAAGCAGAACATTTCATGGATTAGAAGAAGGTATAAATCCTTGGAAAATAGAATTGTGTCTGCTAATACAGAGCATGTAGCCACCCACAGGAAACACTGGAGAATCATATATTGTTTGCGCACATGGGCATTGGACGGGTGGCTAATGTATCTTTGCAGTAATGGGCTGAAGTTGAAAAAGATGAAGAAGGCCTTCATTTTGGAGGAGCTGCATGGCTGCTAATGACTGGGGGGCCCCCAACTGCCATCTCAGCCTATTATAACTTTGCGATGGCTCTTCGATGTTTTTAAAGATGAATGCAAATTAAAAAGCATTAGGCTACATTCATTTGCGATCTTTGGCATACAGACCACTTTTGGTCTGAGGGCCACTTAAGGCTGCTTTATTTCTTCAGATGACCTTGGAATCAAAGGAAGAGCGAGTTTTAATGATTCAGAGGGCTCTTAAAGGCTGGAAAGGAAAAGCAACACAGAGCCTCATTAAAATTTTCATTTAAACATTAAAAAAGCTTTTTGTCACTAATGTTCCTGCCAGGATGCTGAGTTGATGTACGAAGAAAGATCCAGAAGAATGCTCCACATCTGAGCCAATTTGATGTTGATGCGTCTGCCCGTCGCTTCACCGCTGCCTCTCTAAATTACAAGGCACACTTATTTGCCTGCTTTATAATTTTCTTTGTGCGACTTGGTGACTCGTGCCGTGATAAACACGCTGTGGAGCTTTGTGATTTGGTGCAGGGTCCTGTGAATGACCTGGGGAATGCAATGTGTCACTTTATATTTAGCTTCCATTTCTTCACCGTCTGCTCCTCGGCGGCACATGCTATGATTTCAGTTTGTGAGCGTATGTGTGGACGTATGTGAACATATCCCAGAATTCCTTCATTCCCTCCTCCATTGCTCTCTTATTTCCCCAATGACTCAACTTGCCTTGTAAAAATCCTCAGCCATGGCTGCTCAGAGCACTTTAAAATGTAAAGCAATACCACAAAGTCTGACACATAGGTTTCTGCCACTACGTTTTTTGTTTTTCTTTTTCTTTTTCAGGGTCTTGTGGGTCTAAAGAAAGATTTTTCTGTTCAGGAACTTGAGTTGCTTAGAACTTCACATTATAATGTAAATAATATTTTAGGAACCAATGGGAAAACAGGGAAACTATTTCTTAGAGGTTGTCAAATATTGTAAAACCTCAAAAGGAAAAAAAAAATCCAGCCCCTCCATCACTTCACCTCTTGCACGTTCAGTTATTTACAGACATGACAACAACAAAAAAGAGGAAGTTGAACTGTTCAGCAGACTACACAGCATCCTTTCGTGTCGCAGGCAAAACAAGAAATGGGGCTTTTGTCCGCTGCAGACGGCATCAAAAAACACCTTGTTTCATCTGTCTTAAGCAATCCCATCCTGACGCCTTCACACGTCCCCATGTGGTGCCGTGTTGCTCCTCAGCACAGATTGGGAAACAGCACAAACGATCCGCCGGGGAACTCCCAGCGGGCTGCTGTAACATGCTCGTTTGCCGCCGTACCTCTGTTGCACAGAGCCCGTGTTTGATTCCTCACAGGTCGCCCCTCCTTCTGCTTTCTCTGCTCACTCACATCTATCACTTGCTCATTTCACTCTCTATATCACCTACTTCCTTGATTCCTCTCTCTTTCCGTTTGTCCCTGACATTCTGTCAGCTTGTTGGACTGCCCCCCCCCCACCCCCTCTTCTCTCTCTGAGGCCTGCCTCACTTTCTCCCTCACACCTCCTCCTTCCATCTCCTGCACTTCAGAAATACCTGTTAGATGGTCCGTGTGCATCTTGTAGAAACACCAGCTGTTATTGTATCCTTTCTCCACAATGCAATAATAAAACAGGCGTTTCCTCCTGCCTCCTCCATTTCCTTCCTTTGTCTTCTCCTTCACTTCACCCTTAGAAACAGTGCAGTGAAACCATGACCAACCTATGAAATTTATGGAATAAAAAAGGTTTAGTTGACTTTTCACACCAGTCCGTTTATGTGCAACCTCCCACTACACTGGGGGTTAATCCGCAGAAAGCACTGTTAACATTTACCTGCGCAATTTGTGCTCACGTTCTGCGATGCACTAGATGTGGTGCTGTGTGTGAGGTATTTATCTCCTCTTTGCTATAAAAGGCACAGGAGATTCAGGAAGTTCTGCAGAATCAGTTTTTGGACGAGTCAAAAAGTTGCGGCTACACCTGTTAGAAGAAAAACAACAGGTTCTACTTTGGTACGTACTCCCGCATACAGGCTGCAATAAATAATCAGATTTCATGTAGAATACGTGTGCGTGTGGGGACGAGGGTTTCCTGATTTCTCAGGTGTAACACTTTGGTGGATGAATCACAGGTGTAGAGGATATTTTGTGGTGGATGGAGACCAGGTGCTGGAGTTATTTCCGGTCCGTGCTGTTAATCACCGACCTGACGCTGAAATATGGCTTGCAATTTAGCAGTTTTAAAATAGAGTTCCCATGACTGCAGATACTTAGTTTGGGAAACGATAATGAGGCCAAGATAAAGTCAAGAAGAGAGGGTTTCATTTAAACGTGTGCTGCAGAATGTGTTCTGTTTTATCAGCAAATTTGGGCTCAAAGTCGGAGGGATAATAAAAAGCTGAAAGAGATCTGATGCCGTCTTCCTGATAACAATAATTTGACAGTTTCAATTCCTAGGCAGCAATCACAGCTTTGATGTAAGGAGCTGATTAGCAACTAACTTCCCCAATGTGCCAATGCAGCAATCTTAGTGATGAGAGTGGCAGAAGTATTTCTTCTTCTTTTTTTTTTGTCAAAAAGATTCAACTTTCTGGGGCAAAAAATAAATGAAACCCAAATGTGAAATGTGTGTATTCCTGCAGGCGCTATCGATTCATATTCCATAAAAGAAGCCATCCATAAATGTACTGCCACTGAAGAGTAAATAACCAGGAAAACTTCAGTGTATTTAGGTCTAGAACAAGGGCTCACTCCTTCCTTCCTTCCTGTTTCTGTTTCCGTTCACGCTGCAGCTTCTGCACAAGTCAAAATGCGACAAAGGTTTACATCAGAGACAGACTGTCTAAATATCTGATTATAAGCTGTTTATCCTTGTTAAATGATGACAACATAGCCACGCCAATACACTAGAGGGCTCAGATGTGAAGCTGGTCAATATCTATTGACAGACAAATCATTGCTGTTGTTTCTTTCCGTCATTGTCCAGGCCCAATGCATGGGGATCTAAACTGGGAGTGAATGTGATTGGATTTTCAGTCTCCGTCATTAAATTCCCATGCGGGGAATACTAATTCTAGTATTTAGTGCGGTGATGCTAGGGCTTGCTTTCATCTTAAACTGATTCCAGCCTAATTAGATTGGGTATGTGGGGGGTGGTGGATGTATGTCTGGACTAATCCCTGCCTCTCTGTCCCAAACATTGTATTATCCAGAGAAAATCCATTGGCTGCAGGCTATTCAAAGCCAGATCTGCCTCCACTGCAGCTTCTGTACTGTATCATCTGGAGAGCTGTGGCTAGAAGGGTACACTGTGCAGAGAGGGTGGAACCTAATGGTCATGAGTGATGTATGGGTTGCAGAAAACGCCATTTAGAATTTTCAGTAAACCTTTTATCGTGTATTCAGGGCAAGACCGCTCACTGCTGTGGCCTCTTTAGCAAAGCTGCGTCTGAACTACTCTTCTCTTCAGAGGGCATTTTTATTCTAGGACAGTGCAGTTAGGCAGCAGAATTGGGTGGCCCCAAAGTACGGTCACATTAAAACGTTCCTTTTTTTTTTTTTTTTTTTGAGATTTTATAGTTCGTTTGACCTATAAATTGTAATTTCAGCAGACGAAAGTCAGAGGTAGTAAACAGCCACACTGGCTTCGCACAGATCAGCCTGTTACCCTGCCTGTGAATTACTGACACACCGCAGGAAAACACAGTGTAAAGAAGTCCTTCCTCTGAGCACTGTGAAGGCCAGAAAAATGAAAGGCCTTCAGCCATTATTCCCCACAAAGGTCAAACACAATTCAATCCCACAGTATTGGAGGGAGGTACGGGGGGCAATCACAGCAACTCCCTGCACTTTAAGGGTACGCATTGAGAAAGGACCATTCAGCAACATATTAGTCAAGGGCGTGGGGTGAAGTCAGAAGGTGCAGAGGGGGAGAAAAAAAAAAGCCGTTTTTGAGGCTTTTACGTGTTGTGGCTGTTTCACTTCACCCTGAAGTGTTTGAGCGAGACAATAAAGGCCAAAGCTGATTCTGCCCGACTGAAAAGATCCTCATCTCCCACTTCATTTTTGATGTCCTTGTGAAATTTCATTAGCTGGTTTTAACGACTTGTCTGTGTTGCCTTTCTCCCTGACCCTGACACTAGTGCTGGACACGTCTGGGTGGCAGGGTGTGATGTATTGTGTTCAGGTCTTTCTGCGGTTCGGTTTTTGATGTGACAGCATCTGTCGAGCTCTCAACTGCAAAGGCGACGGGTCACATTTGAAGGATTTCAAAAGCACTTGTTGCAATAAAATACGTACATATTCACAGAACACAGTACAAATATATGAAGTCAAGACATACGAATTATTAATGATCAGAAATGATGCACTGATTAAAGTTCAGCGGTTCTCCAAATGAAGGGCAAGGGATGCAGCAAGACAAGTCATTTTCACTTTCAGCATATTCCTTCCGCAGTGAAAATGTGTTATTGTTTGTAATGAATTGTTATTTCTTTATATAAATTGTTTCTACATTTAAACATCATCATCAAGGCTAGTAATTCCCAACTTCAAAAATAAACGTCATGGATAAAGATGATAAAATAAATGTATCATCAGATAGCAAAATTTAGAAAATTTTGTAGTTTTACAACATAAATAACCAATTCAAGAATCCAAAGCTTCGTTACTCCCTTAAATACGGTGAAAAACTCATTAGAGAGAAAAAAAAAACCCTTTAATTTAAAAGTGAAAGTTCAACACTCAAAGTGTTAAATTAAACATTTCTAACGTATTTAGACAATATAAAATCCTAGCCACTGGCTTTAACTTTGTGATATATTGTGATATAATGTATACATTACACCACAATATAATGCTTGAAGGGAAACCTTTCTGCTTTAAAATTTAAAGCGCTGCATTAAAACGCAATGTTTTGAGAGTAGGTTTAATGGGATATAAACAGTGATATGACAAGGTATACGTCGGGGCCTCCAATTAAGATAATGAGAAGAAAAACACTGGCAAAGTGGAATAAGAATGTTTGATGGGACCAGAGTGGTTTGCAGATACAGTTTTTAATGTATCACAACAATGAGCAACAAACATACTTGATGAACTATTTCCAGAAGTTGTTCAAATACCATCTACAATAAACGTCATTTCAACTATGACAACAGGTCTGTGACAAAATAAAAAAACGGTTTCAAAACCATGTTATTACCGTGATACGGTACAGTTGAGACCTCAAACAGTACAGTAACAAAAACTAATGCGACTACTCTATATATAAAACATCAATAACATTTTTGGTTTAGTTTATTTAAAGTTTTAGCCATAGGGGCTTCTTCTTATTAAAACCTCAGGGTGCATTTCCTATGTAACCCAGATGTTGAAGAGTACATATTGTGTAGGATATGATTGCGCCATGAAAATCCCTTTGACATCCAGAAGAGCAATTCCAATTTCAACCTTTTGAAGGCTGTCCCCATAAACATGACACAATCCATCCGTTTGTTTTTAAAAAGTTTTTTTTTTTTTTTCTTTTTGGCTGCTGTGCAGTTGCAATATCTATGTACAGTTATATTGTTGGACCATCCTTTTTGTTGGTTTGTTAGCTTTTACCAGTCCTTGGTGTGGAAAGCGTCCTGTCTGATGCTAACATCTTAGCACATGATGCTAGCGGACAGTTCAGTCTTTTTGATGCTGAGCCACAGAGTGGGGAAAGGCAAAAAGCCAGAGTTGTGAAAGCCTTTGGAATCAGGACAGTCGCTTATGTTTGTACAATGGCAGAATTGCACCTTGGGAGGCCAGGATGTCTCTTTATGAAACACAATCGAAAAGTGTCTTCAGGATTAAAGTAAATGTTAAAATACTAAAAAAAAAAAAAACAAAACAAAAAAAGAAAAAGAAACAAAAAAGACATTTAAAAAGCTCACGCAGGAAATTAAAATCTGACATTTTTGCTTTAAAAAAAACACCTTTACAATAATAAAACATAAAAGGAAATGTTACTTGATTTCATTGTTTGAAACAATAACTAAGCATGATTTGATTTAACCTGTCAAACAGTTGCATTACATGCTACTTGCTCATCTCAGAATAGGAAATACCAAAAGCAATACATTTTTGCATTTCTTCATATTAATAAATTTGTACCATGCACAGCCAACTACGAATATGTACAACAGCTTAGCTTTCTTTGTTCACAAGCCTTTTTCTTTCATACAAATAGCCTTCTGTTACTTTGGAATGAATCACATTGGTTTCAATTACCAAACTAGAAAGTGATTCGTAAAAAAATTGAACACCCTTTGACAGCTTTCACATTCTTAGTTCCACAGCAAAAGAAAAAAAAGATAGCGAGAGAGAGAGAGAGAGAGAGAGAGAGAGAGAAGAAAATAAAAGAGAAGTTGCAAAAGCGAAGCAATTGATGGATCAGTATTTTTGTCTGGTAGAAAGTCGAGAATTTATGGCGAGCAAAATAACATTACACAGTAGCAGCAAACTTTGTAAGGTAATACTTGCGATGTTGAGATCACTAAAGGTGGAAAGAAAATTCAAGACGTTGATTTTAACTGTAGATCATCAGAAGTGCCCAGAGAATTGATGGGAGGACGTCAATCTATGCAATACGTGTGTAACACTGTTTTAAGTCCTACAAGTACATGAAAATGTTTTTAATATACAACGGAAATGCTGTTGTCCCCTTTAAAGCAGCATATTATCAAATGTAAAGCAAATGATCATACTTTTTTTCTTTTTTAACATTGTGACCAACTTGTACCTTAACAGTTTCAAGTATACAGTACTGCTTTCATGAATGCACCAATTCTTAAATAGGTCTCTAGATTGTTAGGCATCAATCCTGTAACAAATATGGACCAATATGCTGCTGCAATAAAAACAAATAATAATTAAAATACAAACATACATACATACAAATGGAAAAAAAATTCTATTAAATTAACAAATGGCCTACTCAAATAATAAAAAGTCAAACAAAAAAAAAATAAGTGCACTATAGTCCAGACACAAGCAGGTACCGTAACAGTACAGCAATTCACAAATGAAAAAATGTTATATTCACATAATATGAGATAGTCTATCAAAACTAGAGTTATTACCTCTTCAGAAAAGGGTGTGAGCAGAGGTAAAAGTGAGAAGGTTGGCACAGATTAGTATATACTACAAGAAAAAAGGAAAAAATGGGTCGGGAATTAGATACAGCTTGTTGAAATACAAACTGGCAAACACAGGGGCATCATACACATTTACTTCACCATTCTATATTCCCTCAGTGGCAAAACCATACTGTCTTTGTAGGGCAAAACTAAAAGGATATGCACATCGTCCATTGTAACAGTAATATTGTCTCTTGGTACTCTATACACATCAAGGAAATGCGTCCGATAAAGCTTGACATGTTTTGGTTATAAGCCAAGTATACCCAGGCTTCTTGCTGCTTTAACAAATGAGAAATGTTATGTTCTGACCTGAGAATTTAAAGCTACTGAATTACACCTATCTAAACTAAGAGAGATTCTCTTTGAGGGTTTTCTGGATCGTCATCCCATACAGTACATGCTAGCATTTGGAAAACAATCCAGCTGAGGTGCAATTTGCTATCGTGAGAGTTTTTGGCTTGAAACAAGCTCCCCCCAGAGGGAGCTTGTGGGATTTTTTCCTACTCCATGTTTTTTGTATACAATATAAGCTCAGTCAAGCATCTGCAACAGTTCTGTCCATAACAAAAATCAATCAATATCTTGCCAGCATATCAATATGGGAAAAACAATCCTGAGTCAATCATTTGGTTCTGTAATTTTTTTGGGTTAAGAGAGACTTTGGAACTGCAGTTTAAAAAGTCTTATTTTTTTCTTTAAGCAAGGGATCCTTTTGTCACTCCTACACACTGAACATATCCATTCTTATACTACTGAAGCTCGCATCTAGGCCAGAGGTTGGCTTAGCCTTGACTTCCAACGCGTTTTCTAAATCATCCAAATTCTGGCTTAGCTCATTGTCAGACTCATCTGAACAACTCTCGGTGGGTAGTGAGGTTGGAACCCCTGAGGTGCTGCAGGAAGTTGAGGTAACCGTTGAAGGTGAGGAAAGGGGAGGGGGAGGAGAGGCTGACGGGGAGGAGGAAGCAGCTTTCCGGGCTGTGGTGGCCTGGAACAGGACATTTGGCCAGGACTTCATGGACAAGCGAGAGAGATGAGGAAAGGTGTTATTAGAAGAAGCTGCAGACTGCGAGGTAGATGTGGTGTTAGGAGTAGGGGAGCAGACAGAGTGAGGTAATAATCTAGTATGCTCTTTGGCATTTCTCATTGCTTGTTTGATTGTTTTCTCTTTGTGCAAGCTCGACTGAAGGTGTTGGCCAAGTGCTTCATTCCCATTAACAACCACATTGCAGGCAACACATTTGTAGTTGCTCACTGCCTTCCGAAGCACCGTCTCTTGCGGATCGGTAAAAGGATGTCCAAAGTAACAGAAGGACTTCTGGTGACGCACCACTGAGTCTTCGTCAGCAAAAATCATCTGGCACTTCCTGCATGTAAACTCATGCTTGACGGACGGTATGATAAAAGCTTCTGAAAAATCCATGGTACTTTTGGTATCTGTTTTGGGTTCTTCTTTTGTGCTTTCTGTTGAAGAGCCTTTGTTGGTGTCATCCTTAGCATCGATAGCATCTTTTGGTTTGAAAGAGTTGGCTGTGGTGCTCTGTATGCTTTGGGGTGTTTTCACAGGGGTTGGTTTCTGCTGCTGCTGCTGCTGTTTCTGCTGCTGATGTTGTTTCTGCAGTGAGTCCTGGAGGGACTGTTGGTACTGCTGGTACTGCTGCAGGAGAGCGGTTGGCGACAGTCCGGCTGCCATGGCAGCTTGTGGAACTGCTGCTGGGCCATAGGGAAACAAGCTTTCCATTCCACACAGTGGTGGAAAGTAGCCGCTTGCTTGGACCCCTCTTGGAAGTTGAGGAGAGAAGCAGTTGGGGAATCCAGGAAGAAAATAGGGCAGGAACTGTCCCCCCAAGAAAGAAGTGGGATCAGTAGCTGCAAGAGCATTTTGAAGCGCTTGAAGCTGTGCAGCATCAAGCGGTGTCTCACTTCCTGGTTTCCCTTGAGCTGGACTTGGTTTCTCTCTTATCTTAACCTTGCTGGGAGTCTCAGGGCGAGCGCTGCTCTCATTTTCCCGTTCCTTCACCTTCATCTGTGATGACTTATCACCTTGCTTCTTGCTGCTGTCTCTCTCTGTGTCTTTGCCTTGCTGCTCTGTATGATTTACTGCTGCCAAAGGTGTGGAAGGAGGAGGAGGAGGTGGAGGTGGAGGAGGAGGTGGTGGAGGAGGAGTCTGCAGAAGAGTCTTGGTTGGGGTAGTGCTGAGAGACATGGCAGGAGAGGGGGTGGCTGGGGTAGGGAACCCAAGCATGCCAGCACCAGGAGACGCTAAAGCTGAAATACAGTGGTATATAAATATGGAAATATTCAATATTTTAAAAGTCAATCCCAAATCAAAATGGATAGAAGCTAAAATTTGTCACTGGCAGACACTCTTTGTTTTATCATGGATTTTGTTATGGATCAAAACTGTCACATGCGCATTATATTTTCAATCTGCCAATAAATTACAATATAAATATATCAAACCTACAAAAGGGGAAAAGACAAAACACAATAACATAATATAGATACATTTATGTAAAAACAAAAACAAACATCAAACAAACAAACAAAAAAAACAACTATTAATTCAATTAGCAGGTCAACTCTGAGAAAAAACAAACCTGGCAGACATGCACTACTGTAACTCCCACCATTTTAATTAGTTAAAAAATAAGACTTTCTGACAAACATCCTCATGATACAGAATAACCAGTAGGACAGTAGAATAAAATAGTGCATGATAAAGCCTCTAGTTCATTGTTATTTTTTCTGTTCGTCATACTAACTCACCAGGTGTGTTGGGTGGGAAAACAGGAAGTGAAGATGGTCCATTGACCCCAGGAAGTAGCACAGGTGGAAGGCCAGATAACCCTGGGTAGCCTGTAGGCAAGCTGAGACCATGAAGTGCATTATTGTTTTCTACTGCAGTCTGCTGTTGCTGGCCAGGTAAGTTAAGTCCCTCTCCAGCCTTCTTTATACGGTCCAGCTCTTGCTGGGCCATGAGCTGACGAACAGTAGTTGGCGCTAGGTAGTCCTTTTCTCTGTCCACCTGGGTTCCCAAGGTTTCCTGCACTTTGGTGATGTGCTGTCTAGAAAATATGTGGTCTCGAATGGACATCCTGGCTGTGTACTTTACACAACACAAGGTACACTCGGGCTTGGGTCCATCTGGTGAACCGTGACTGATCATAAATGGCTTTCCAATGTTAATTTTAAACTTCTTTTCTTTAGCACGGGCATTCTGGAACCACACCTGGACGACACGTTTGGGAAGTCCAATCTCATTGCCCAGCATTTCACACTCTTGCATTGTAGGAGTGCGGTAGTCACTAAAACAGGCTTTGAGCACTTTAAGTTGCAGGTTGCTCATCTGGGTCCTAAATCGTTTGTGACCTGGTCTGTCTCCAGCATTATTGGCTTTCCCAGATTTGTTGAAGGGGTTACCAAAGGGACTAGGGGAACTGGGATCTGTCAAGCTTGATGATTCACTCCTGTCATTGCTTTCGTCCATTTCATCATCCCTGGAACTGACATAAGAGTCACAGTCTTTCCCAGAGAAACTGAGGGCTGGGCTCACCATGCTGAATTGGAATCGTTCATTGCCACCATCAGAGCTGAGCACCAGGCCATTCTTGCCATCACTTAGCTTGTCACCACCATTGGCAGTAAAGCTTTCAACCTCGTTATTATTACCCTCGTCTCCAGTCGTGGCGTCACTTATGGCTGTGTTAATTGACGACGTCTCATCAAAGTCCATCTTTGCCAGATCGTAAGATGAAGCTTCTGCTGAATTTATATTTGGCCCTTCAGTTTCATCACAGTTTTCAGCTTTTAAGGATGAAGGGCTTAAGAAGTTTTTTAACTGTGCCTCTGATGGTTTGTGTGGAGTTGAGGACGCAGTGGGCAGCTCATAATCATTAGGTTCAGTCTTCGTAGGCAGATGAGGGTAGTCGAAGAAATTATATTTATTGGGGCTTTCTACTCTTTCATTGTCCTGACTCATCATTGGACTTGGGGGCAAGCTAAAGCCTGCCTGCTTAGCTTCATGCCAGTGTCTGGACCGAATGTGGCTATCAAGGGCAGATTTGGCTTTAAAGAGTGCTCTGCAAAAGGGACATTTTTTGTGGGTCTGAGAAGGCCCGATCGCTCTAAATTGTCCCTTTCTCTCTCGCGCCCGGGTGTTTTGAAACCATACTTGCACAACTCTCTTTTTCAAGCCGACCTCTCGTGCAATGTGGTCCAACATCTTCCTTGTTGGGTTTGAGTCAAGTAAGTATTTGTCATACAGAACCTCAAGTTGCTCTGGAGTAATGGTGGTTCTCAAACGTTTATCTCTGTGTTGTTCTTCACTGCTGTTTCCACCATCTTTATCATTGGCACTGTCATCCTTGTCATCCAATTTCCTCTTCAAAGCTAAAGAGCCTGATGCAGAAGCCAAACCAGAGCTACCCTGTGAGGCGATTTGGGAAAGCCCACCAGATAATAGTTGACTTGCCATCAGGGGATTGTTGGGATCAAATATCATGTATGGCATATCCATTGGTCTTTCAAGAAACTGAGAGTGAAGAAATTGGTTTTGGGCAGCTAGGAAATGCATGTGCTGGTGTTCCTGCCAAAGTTCTACAGTTGGGAATGCAATCTTACACTGATCACATTGGTACTGAAGCATTTGGTGGGGGAGACTGTTGGTCAGTGATGAAAGAGCCAAAGACAGCGGACTTGATGGTACTGCAGCTGCCTGTGGCTGAGAGTGGGGTCTTGACATCTGTGGTTGGGGAGCTTTCTGAGGAGGTGGCTGAGGTGTGCAAGCCTTTGATGGTCTTGGTTCTGGTAGTGATTTCACCACCGGTGATGGGGCAGCCTCAGTTTGTTTTACTTCAGTTTCAGATCCAACCTCTGGTTTGGGAGATGTTTTCCCCATGCTGGTACGAGGAGAAGCCATTACGGGCGAGCTTGAGCCAGAACTGGTAGCAGTACCTGTTTGGGACTGTTTGTGTGTCTCAGAAGGTAATTGGTTCATCCTACTATGGCCTTGCTCAATAGTATCAGCAAAGTCGTAAGAGTTGTTGTCATCGTTTATTTCATCATCTTCATCTTTATAACACAGTTTCTTCTGGTGGGTTATGAGGTCAAAGATGCGTGGGAACACAATGTTGCATTTTTTACACTGGTACTGCATGTTGCTGGTTCTGATGTATCTCTCATTGGTCAATTCCTTTTTCTCATTATCTTTGCAATCTGCCTGATTCTCATAACTCTTCCGAGCTTTTTGACGAGCATTTTGGAACCACACAACAATTACCCGGGTTGGTAGGCTCAGCACTGTGGACAGCTGTTCAATTTCATCATCCTTTGGATAGGCATTGGTGTCAAAGAAATCTTGAAGGACCCTCAACTGGTAATCTGTGAATCTGGTCCTAGACGATCTCTTGTTCATGCTCGATTCTGTCCTGTAATATTCCTGGGCACTAAGCTGAGGCTCCATCCTTATGTCTTCCAATGTTGTAATAGGAGGAATACTGAAATTGTAGGGAGAGTCCTTGCTGCGCTGTCTTTCTTTAAATAGGGTGTTACGGAACCAGTGTTTGATGACCTTTTGAGGCAAGCCAGACTTATCTGACATTTCTTGAATTTGCTCTTCATTTGGTGAATTGTTGATATCAAAATTGGCTCGCAGTATCTTGAGCTGGTCGTCAGTGATACGAGTACGAGGCCGCTTAAACTGAGACTGACGCAGAAAATTAGGATCTAGACCCAGTTGTTGCTGACAAAGCTGAGTTAGGTCTGTAGAAAGAGAGTCCATGGTCGGCAGTTGAAGAGCCAACTGGGGTGGCAGGCCTGGGTGTTGGACTGACTGCATCATTAGAGGTGGGAAGAGAGGCAAGTCCAAAGGAACAGGAAGTTGAACTTGAGGTGGTGCAGGTGGTGCCGAAGTGGGTGGAGGAGGGGGTGGTGGTTGGGAAGGTGGTGTCTGATGGGACGGTTGGTGAGGAGTTGGAAGAGAAACAGGGACTGGTGATGGTGCAGGAGTTTGGGGTTTGATCAATGTAGTGGATGATGACGCAGGCTGAGATGCTGCAACTTGGGTTGGAGCCGGGGCAGGTGGAGGAGGAGGAGGTGGAGGTGGTGGGGGTGGAGGAGGCTCTGGTGAAGCTGGATTTATTGGGTAGAGTTTGTCGTAGGCTTCTCTGTACTGCTGGGCAAACTTTTCAAGCTCTACATACGGGAAAAAGTGACTGTGCACATGTTCTTGGTGGCTTTTGAGAATAAGCATATTGGAAAAGAGCTTCCCGCACATCCCACACTCAAGCTTATCAGAGTTTAGCTCTGTTTGTTCAACTCCTTCTTTGTTTTTCTTTTGGTTTTTTTGTCTGTTTTCATTGTATTGAATGACTAACTCAAAACCAAAATTCTCGAGCAGCGCCTTTGCTGCATTGCCTCTGGCTCCTGACACAATCCGTGGAGGAGGAATCAATGGTTCTGAGAACTTTGACTTTTTGGGATCTTTGATGTCTTTTCCCACATCACTTATTACATCACCTCCATTTTCTACCTTTGCTCTGCCTTCCTGTTTTTCTAAGTGGTCTTCTGCCTCTTTTGCCATCTGAAGTTCTAAAGCCGATGCATTGTTGGACTCAAGTTTTTGTTTGTGATTCTGTACTTGCTGGTTTTTCTGTTGTTGAAGTTGCGCATGTGCCTGAGAGGCTTGCTGCTGCTGCTGTGCCTGTTGCTGTGCCTGAGCCTGCTGCAGCTGGTGCTGCTGTTGTTGCATCTGCTGCTTCAAGTCCTCTAGAAAAGATCCACTGAGGCCAGGCATTCCAAAAGCCGCTGCTGAATGCAGGGCAAGCTCTGGGCTAAGATTAAACTCAGCTCCTGGGATGTAAAATGGAAAAAGAAACTGTGGCTGTTGAAACTGCAACAGTGCTTCTGGGGTCATAGGGAAGTGTGGGAAAAAGGCTGGATTAAGGAACTGAGGCTGGAAGAAGGCAGCTTGTTGCTGCAGTTCGTGTTGGAGCTGCAGTTGCAGTTGAGCTGACAACTGAGCTGACTGGTGGCTGCTTGCTTGTGAAGCAACGTGGTCAGTAGAGGCTTGCTTAACATTGTTGCTGCTGTTAGCTGCTTTAGACTCAGCTGCATTCTCTTTGTTAGTAGAAGGTGTTCCACTTCTGGCAGTATCAGAGTTGCTGTTGTTTCCTTGTGAACTCGGTGCAGGACTCTTTGCAGGTACTGGACCACTACTGCCAGAGATGCTGCTGCTTCCACTGCTGCTGCTGCTGCTGCTGATTTCAGTTTTGGCTGTTCTTGCTTTGGTCTGGTGGAGTACTGACCTCATGTGAATTTCAAGGGTGGAGCTTTGACTATATGCAACATTGCAAATGTTGCATTTGAATGGTTTGTTGTCAGTGCTGTTGCTTGTCTCTTGTGGGACTGGGCTTGATGCCTCCTGAAGGACCTTCTTTAATTTATGCAAGTGGGAAACAGAATTGTAGTGGACTAATAAGATGTTCTTTTGAGTGAAGGATTCCTTGCATACTGTGCACTTATAAGGCCGAGAAGGATCCATAAACTTTTCCATAGTAAAGTTAGGACCCTTTCTAAACGGAAGTGTCCGTTTGGGTTCTGCTCCCATGTCATCAACCAAGGAGCTGCTGTCACTTCCTGTGGGACTAGGCTTCTCTTCCTGGTCTATTTCATCATCTTTATCCAAGTCATTTTCAAAGACCTGAGCTTCTTCCAAGGCTCTGGCTTCACTTTCACTAATATCTCCATTTATTGGTAGATTTCCTATTAGTTGCTGCACTTCAGCTTCACTGAGCTCAGGATGACCACTCTCTAAATGCTTCCTGAGAGCCAGGAATGTCCTAAAGCTGCGCTGACAGAGGCTACACATAGTAGCTGCTCTGATGGCATGGTACTGGGAATGTATCTGAAGCTTCTGCATTGTCTTAAAGGCCAGACTGCAGTGGTTGCATCGATACTTGTAGACATGACGATCGGAAACTGAGAGCTGCTGCTGTTGCTGCTGGAGTCTTTGGAGCTCACTCAGATGGTCTTGCAGGTTATCTGGAGACTTGCTATCATGTCCTAATCCACTGGCCCTCTTCCATTCCGGGGCCTCTGAGGCCTCTTTTGGAGGCTTGAGTTCCTCACCATGCAGGTCCAACTCATTCTTGTCTTGACTGGGCATTTCATCTTTTGAGACATTTCCTAAAAATGAAAATAAAAGACAAGGTTTTATTCATTACATCATTCATTTCACATGATAAACAATAGCTTTAATGCTAATACCACGGTTACGATTGCTAATACTTTTGATATAATTGATTTTTCAAAATAGGTGCCTTTCCCAAACAAACCTGTTATGACCTAATTAGTAAAATATTAATGTTCTCAGTACATTATTCTGCTCACCTTGAGATTTCCCACTCCTATCAGACAGAGAGGTAGAGGAATCCATTAGGGATAGTGCTTTGTCTTGTCCAGTTTGGGGTTGCATTATATTATTCGGTGTTGCTGTTTCAGGTCCAATAACCTATTAAGGACAAAACAATTTAATTTATCACCATTAATATTTTATGGTTTTTAAAATGGAAACAGTCTACTTGGAGATTTTTAGAATATTTGGCTATGAAAAGTCACCAACAATGTATTCACAACCAAGACTTTTACTTACAGTAAGAATAAGCTTTTCCACACAGTCGGGAGCAACACTGTGGAGGTGTGTAAGATGCAGCTGCAGGTGAATCTTGTTGCTCAGGACATCCTGGCACAGTGGGCAGCGAATAACGGGCTGCATGGAATGCTGTGACATCACATGGAGCTGCATACGGTTGGCATCTTTAGTGCTAAAGTTGCAATATGGACACTGCTGGACCTTTAAAAAAAGAAAAAGAACATAGGGTGGTATATTAACTCTGGGAATTAACTATACTCTTAGTAAGATTTATATTTCATTATTCAGGTATTAGCCTCTTCTGAAACACATTGCAGTCCGACAAATCACTTTTTAAAACACACAGTGTTGATGAAGTGACTGAGAATCATTCCTTTTGCACCATTGTGGTGGAAATAAGCATATTTGCAAAATTAACTTGAACCTTTACAGGCCTTTTTTGTGTTCCAGCCACCTAGTACCCATCTTAAAAAATGTAGATCAGCCATGTTTCATTTCATTCACTTAAGTCTCAACTCCTACAATTTTATTAGCAGAATACATGATTGCCCAGAATTTCTAATCAGGAGATTACAGATGACAAAGGTGTGTACTCTCCCTAGCTACGACCTGCCCTCATTACAGGGAGTACTCTGAACATAGCTGCCTCCCCACCACCTGTCTTAATAGAATCCATTTCTGAAATGACTAAGTCCTCCCTCCTTGCAGGGCCCAGAACCAGACAAGCTAATACTTCATAACCTAATTTAAAAACACATATAATTTAAAGAGATGCAAAAAGGGGGAAAGAAGCAAGGGTAGGAAGGCTTAAGGCTAGTGAAGGTATTCCACTTAAGAACACAAAGACTGTGCTTGATGCTAAAAAGCTTTGTCAGGCAGGGGAACACTGGGCCGGATTTAACCCCTTGATAGAAACCCGGCTCTCGGTGTGTAGTATTTTTGCATCTTAGAGGTCGTAATGTTCTTTCCACCAGCCTGTCTCAGTGTTAGTAATGCATTAAAACAATGGATGTCGAGAACCTTCCCCATTACCATTTTGTACAGCAACATCAAATTCCACCACAATTTGTGGATAATTTTCAAATAAATTTCTAAAAATGCAATAACAACCCACATCTGGAGTTTATTTAAGTCTATTATTTGGGAATAATAGGCATTTAAAACTCACCTGCTAATCTCTCCAACAAACATTGGAAAAAAGTTTGCAGGTTTATTGTAGGTCAGATTTTAGGGAGCATCCATCATGGTCAGTTCTCACCTTTTTGTGCTAAACTTTGTGTCAGACTGGCCTTTAAGTAAAAAAACCTTTGTGTGTATTAGCCAAAGTTGCCATTCAATACACCTGACCTTCCAACCCTTATGTTATATTTGATCCTCAGTAATATTTCAGTTTCAGAAATACCATAGTACATAGCAGAATAAGTTGGGGAATAAGTTGGGGAATAAGAACCTCTGTTGCTCCAAACTACAACAGCAGCACTGCCTGTGTTGTTGTTATGTAATTTATCATTAATTCTCTACAAACCATTACCTGCTCATTGGCAGACGTCTTCCCCTCAGCAGACTTTGGCCTTTTGGGCGGGCTTTCAATTTGTCGATCTGGCGGTAGGGAATGTTTTACCATTGCATTCGGTGCGGTGACCTCATTGGACATGGCAATCACTCCTGACAAGCAGTAAGAAAAGGGAGAAGGGGGACGGAAATTAGATTTTATTTTGAGGTACATACAAATAATACACAATAAATTAAATCAGTAAAATATTTTTTGATAAAATGAAACATGGTAGAAAAAAAAATAACATAGTTAGACAACAAGGAAAATATTGAACAGCTGAGTGCACCAAATTAATATTCAGTGGGAGAAAAGTAGGTGATAATTGTAAAAAAAAAAAAAGATGGGACAACAAGACAACATAAGCATGGATACGACAGTGCGTTGTATTATTCACATCCGTGTACACTGATGTGTTACTGCCCTGAGGAAATGTGAAATGGAAAAAACTCAGGCAGGCTCATTATCACAGCACGACATACATTAAATGTTATGGTAATATTATACACTTCATTAGTTCATATACATTTCCCAAGCTGCCTCAACAACTCTTCTGTCTGTGCAAGATGCTAAATTTTCGGGGCTTGGTCACAGCTGGTGGTACAGTAGCAACATTACTCGTGTGTGTGTGTCTTTGTGTGTATGAGTGTGTGTGACATTAACAGCAGGGCTCAATGTGGAGGGATCAGCCTCTGGTTGTATAAATGCTGCAGCCGCTGATAAATCTTTCATTAGCTTCATCCTAAGATACAAGCCACGCAGGCTCTGCCGTACTCCTGCCACTGCAATTTACCCACACCAACACAAAGACACAACAACAACAGCAACTCTCACTGCCTCCCTCCTGTTTCCTGGCTCTCTTCCTCTCTCTTCTCTCCCTAAGCCATGACCCCCTCCCCTCCCCACTTGTCTCCCCTCCCTTGTCTGGTCACCCAAGGCAATATGTGAGCCTCACTCTTGCGAATCAACGCTTCACGCTAGATGCACAAATAGAAAAAAAGGGAAATCAAAGCACTGATACATGGAGTGGGGGGTTGAAAAAAAAACATTTTGTATTTCATATTATTTCGTCTCCTGTTTGTATTGGGCAAATATCAATTCCTCTGGCCCGTTCATGCATTTTAATTCTGTTGCATTAAGTAGGCGTTCCACTTATTTTATTTGTAATCCCCTATATCTGGAGCCTGAAATATTGGCCTGTCAAGGAAAGTGACAAGAGAGAGAAGGAGTGAAAAAAGGAAAAAGAAGGCAAGCAAGAGGGAGGGAGGAGGGGTGTGGAGGGGACACATGGTCACAATGAGAATTTCCAAGAACATCCGAGAATTTCTTTGCTGCTCAGAAAAACCGAGTTAATCTCGTCTGCCATTGCCGGTGATGGCCCCCGCAGGGCCTGTGTGGCCATATGTGTGCGTAGCCTGGACTTGACGACAAGACGACTGACCCACACCTGGTCATATTGGTGCATGCTGGTGGCACCTGTCACTTCACCTGACACACACCCGAGCCCACGTCCTGAATTTATTATGACCATTTCTAATTTCAACTTTCAATTTCTGCCTCCATCTTCAAGTCAATTTGCAACTAAATTACATCCCCGCACAAGGAGATGAGGCGATTGTTGGACAAGAGACTGCAAATACATTTACAATGCAGCAGGGCAAGAGGCCACGCATCACCACGGATTATTGTCATTTTGAATGTAAATGTATTTGTGTAATGTGTGCGTGTGTGTGTGTGTGTGTGTGTGCTCTGCTTCTGGTGCAGACTAGTGCTTTTATCAGCAATTAAAACCCTCACACAAAGAACAGTTGGTTAACCCTGATCACTGAGAGAGAGAGAGAGAGAGAGAGAGAGAGAGCAATTCTTTCTATGGACACTTTAAATAGCAAACCCTGTGAGTGAATAATTAAGTTATTTTGCGCCATGTAATTGCATTCAAATTTGTGGACTATCTTGGAAGGAAATAATCACCACCAGCACAAATAAACACAACAGCTAGCCCCAATCTAATCAGAACACATAAAAATACAAGAGAGGGAATCTAAACATCCCGCTGCCTGTAGTTTGTAACCAAATTCATATTCTCGCCTTCAATAACTGGAATAATTAGAGAGACATAATAAAGTACAGAGAATGAGACAGTATCTCTGCTACTTTCCTCTCTGTCTCCTTTGTCTCTAAGTCTGCACACAAACACTTAATGACTGTCCTTTTTTTTCTCTCCCTCCTCCCTCTCTCGCTCCCTCCCTCCCCCCCTTCCCCACCGCTCCATCCCTTCATCCTTATGTGAGCTCCACCAGCTGCAGCCCAGTGAAGCGGAGGGGCAGAATAAACCTGACACCACCAACCCCACTCCACCAATGACAAATGTCTGCATGCAGCAGGACCTTGCTTGATTAGATAAATCAAAAGGTGATTTATGACACTCAACCCTCTTTTTGCATCGCACGGGAAGCGAGCGGCACACTCGCCACCCATCTTTATTTGCAACTGTCAATGACGTTTAGGGGGCCTCGCGTTCACGAACATGTATACATGCATGTGGGTACTCGGATGGTAAGTAGTGCGACTCAGAGGAGGGGGAGAAATAGAGAGGGATGGATAAGAAAATAAACACGAGGAACACAGAGCATCTCGTAGCTCTAAACACCTCAGGATGTTTCTGTTCCTTTAACGGGAAAAGAGAAGCCACAGTAATATCCAACTAATGCTTTTCTTGTGGATCCGTTTAAAAACCTGCACTTTTGGCCTGGAAAAAGGTTAAGAATGCAAATGAAATTTTGACACACGTAAACACATTATTGAATCTCTATATCTCTGGATGTTTAACGACAGCGTCAACGATCTTAACCTGGAGACGGAGGAGGATTTTATAGTAATCAGACTGTACCAATTAAAGAAAAAACAGATGTTTTTCCCCTTTTGTAGCAAGAAATCTAGATTCCATTTCTGACTCGTCATATCATGAAAATAAAAAACTCAAATCCCCACAAATATAGAGCAGGAGTAGGTGATGATGGTAGTGGTGGGGGGGGCTGTCAATTAAAAAGGAGCAGGCTGGGTGGCGGCAGCTTGGATTTAGTATTCAATTTAGCTGTCCTGAGCCCTGGCAGACTGGCTAAGGTTACCGAGCAGTAAATCTAAGGAGGAGAGCTGGCCAAAACAGGCAGGGGTGGGCCGGGCACAATGATTTACTGGCCTAGTGCTCTGAGGTTACGCATTAGGCTGACCCCCGGTCACCTGATAACATTACAGCAACACACTCTGAACCCCAAACTCCCACTGAAGCACTCAGCAGGTCCAGATCTAGCCTGAGGGAGGTAGCAATAGTAGGAGAGAGAGAGGGAGAAGGAAAGAGAGACAGGGACAGACAAAGAAGGCCTTTTATTTCTCTATCCAGTCACAACAAACCGCTCGTTTGCCTTTTGTGCGGCACGGCCTGCAACATTAACATCCCAAATAGTTCCATAGCCCAGCATTGGATTATACACTAAAGCAAAGATAACATCGGCTGAAAGTTAATTTCAATGTTTTGCATATCAGTTACAAAACTATGGATGCCAGGTTACAGTAGTGACACTCAGAGTCAGTAGTATGTTTGGTTTTTACAGTTATCAGTTAGTGTAAAAACGTCCCTGGGGCAGAAGTACAGAGTACGACTGTAAGACAATAGCTGCCCCGTAGTCTGTGATGTTTTATTTTGTAATAACGACCCTTTCTTTTCCCCTCTGTCTCCCGCTTGTCCCCCCTCACCAAAGATAAAAAATGAGCACAGGCCGTGTCACAGTTGACAAATGGAGTGAGACGTTCAACAAGATGTCACTAAAAACACATGCACAGAGGCACCGCTGCAGGCTCCTAATTAAAAATGTTAATGTATTTAACATATTTTAATCTGATTACAAGTGCATCTCGACAGAGGGCAATTTGCCAGATGCTTGCAAATAATAGGAGGAAGGAGAAAAAAAAATCGCAAACACAATCAGGCTAATGTGGAATATTTACCACATTTGCCTGTGGAATAACTCCACTTGTTCAGCTATGGCTAATTACCACATACATGGAATGAATGCAATTTTTCTGAAGCAGGTATTGAAATTAGGCGAGGTGACCTCATCGGCTAGTTTATAGTTGCAATAACATGCACCATCTACAGTACATGTATATAAAGCAACTGGAAGTAATCCACATTAGAGGCAAGTGCATGGAGATTGTAACATGGATTATAATTAATCTAAAGTGACATAGGATTAAAAAAGACATTGTTATTGAAGCTATTTTGGAGATGAAGCGCACATACACACTGCTCACTTGGTCATACTGTAATCCCCTCCCTGGAGATTCTCTCTCACACACACACAAACACACACGTACATAGAACGACAGCGAGAGATCAGGACACTTCAAGCCTGCCAGAGAATTGTGGCTGAGGAGCTAGATGCTAAACCTACTACATTAAGCTGTAAAAAAACAATACACTGACTGTGACACTAACACACTCTCTTTTTTGCATTTTCTGCCACTTGAGGTTGTCAAACCTCCATTAATCCAATAGCTGTAAAGTAACATATGGAATATTCACCCAACGAGCTGACTCTACAGCGGCCTCTGCAGCATATTATTCACTAAAAGAGAACGACATACAGTGTTCTGTTTTAATGAAAACATATCAGGAATCTGATGGCCTACACATGGGAACACGTAAGCGTACTTTGAAGTAGGAGGGACACGGACACTTTCTTTATTTTCCATTTTTTCTGTTCTGTTCTTTTCTCTTTTTTTTGCATGTGCGCAGTGGTGTTAAATGATGCTGGCTGTAATATGCGGCAGTAAATGCATGGATGGTGGTTCCCCGCCAGTCCGTCAGACAGGCCTGTCAGTGAGATAGAGCTGAAAGATAGATGACTAGCTAAACTAATAGGCCCCAGCCTCACTCAGCTCTCCTTCTGCCTCATTGAGCCTCACATTATGGAGCTAGGTATGGCATGTTAGGAAGTGGAGGCGGGGTGGGAGCTGGAGATGGATAGAGGGGTTGGAGTTGGAAGGTGGATGTACGTGTGCGAGTGCGTGTGTGTGTAAGTTGCGGTTAGAATGAGCGTGTGTGGTTGGGGGGGGTGAAAGAGAAAGAGGTGGATATTAGATATTAGAAGATGGAGAGAGACAGAGGGAGAGGGAGAAGCCCATGCTATGACAGAGGGAACAGTAGGAAAGTGTGAGAGAGAAAGAGAAAGAGAGAGAGAGAGACCCCATGCAATATTCATCTCCAGCCATGGATTTCCATCTCATACATAAAAAGATCATATGAATTCTTATTTCAGTAAATCAAATCTAACAAAGCCTGCGCTCTCCTGACCACAACCTGGCAGCAGAGGCCTCATGTGTTCACTACCTCAGCCAAAATAACAAAAAAAAAAAGTCACCATGCTGTCTGATACCGTGTTGCTCCTCCCTCCTAATCACATTACTCTCCTTACAAACAAACAAAAGTTTTAGTTTGTTTGCTCCATTTCTCTCTCTCTCAGGCCTTTGTTTTTTATTTTTTTTAATATGTTTGACGCCTGGTGACAGGGTCATAGATTGGACAACAATTAAGGGATAGACAGAACCAGAGAAGGAAAAATGAAGCGAGAGGAAAAAAAAAAACTCATTTAAGGGTGACTTGGATGTGGTGCAATATTAGAAAAACATATACACAGCCCCCCATCTAATCCTGTGCTTATGAAAAATTAATATGTCATCGGAGAGGGCACAAGAACGAGAAAAGATTAATGCAAGGCGCTTATAAATTACAAGCACGCAAACTGATTTGATTAAAAAATAATCTGGGGCCTGGACAGTGCCTGGTAATATCCACCACACTCAACTTATCCCCCACCCACTCTCTCTCTCTCTCTTACTCTCTGTTTTTTTCTCCCTTTCTTCCCCACTGTCTCTTCCCCTGTCCCTCTCATTCTCTTTTTTTTTCTCTTTCTGTCAGATGGAAACGATTAAAGCCGGTCACATGGAGGCTAGGCTCACATGTTACACACACGTAAGAACCTTATCTGAGGCAGGGACGGAAACAGAGATGAGCGATAATTTAGGTAAAAAAAAAGAAGAAAGTTCTCATGTTGTTGGCAGACTTACGGTCAGTTCTCCTGCTGTCAGTCATGTCTCGCTCAGCCAGGTTCGGTCCATGCCTGGAGGAAGAGCGAGGAGGTCTTTCACGATCCTCAGCATCATCTGTAAATACACAAAAATAATAATTAAAAAAAAAGTAAAAATATAGTACGTAGAAGTATAGTTCTGTCAGCACCAAAACAAAATGTCCATGATTCTCTGAAGTGGGGAATGGAGCAGATGTTTCCCACCTATTGCCGTATCATGTTTAGGTCGGTTTGAAAACATTGCTGTTCCTACATGATCACTTAATCCTCACAAAACCCCGTTTTTCTAAACAAATATCACTGGAACCCTACTGGACTGATGACCCCACCCCCAAATCATGCTTTTGGTGACTTGAACAAATGTTCTGTTGAAAATAGCCCTGCCGTGCCACTTCTGGAGGGTGAAAGCTTATACACCCATGCAGCGTGAAAGCGGGGCAGTTGTGTGAAAACCAAGTAGGTCCGACTGGGAGACTATTTTAGTCCACGTGGTTGTTTCATTAGAAGGCAAACACTTTCTATTCCTAGATAAGTCAATGAAATCTTCTTATTCTGTTTTCTTCTTTAAATTCTAATTATGACGTCAGTGACAACACCCATGTTTAACCTCCCACACACTGGTCTCACCGAACTGGTGTATTTTGGTTGTGTAAATATATGTAATGTAGTGTTCACTATAGTGTTTATTTACTACAGAAAAAAATGTGTGTGCAAATGCACAGAGCCAAATGCAGCTCAGCACTATTAGCAGATTAGCTTAGCCATCTCTGAGAGTTCAGCCCCTTGTTTGATAATTCTGTGTATCTGCAGTGTTCTGCCAGTGGATTAAAGTGTGTGTGTGTGTGTGTGTGAGTGTGTGTCTGTGTTGTAACAGTCGGAGAGGGGAAGACAGAAAGACAGAATGTATGTGTGTGTTTGCACAAGTGTGTGTGTGTGTGTGCGTGTGTGTGTGTATGTGTCACCACAGAAAGCTAACACTAATCCTAGCCGAGCCCCAGCGATCCCTTTCATCCAGCCATCATTTGTCTCCGGCTGGGCTGATGTCACTTTGTAATGAATTTTGAGCAGTCTGAGAGAGGCCAGATAACCAGACACACACACACACACACACCACAGAGAGAGAGAGAGAAAAAACCCCAAACATATACATACAAATGTACTACCCTCCTCCATGCAGCATACCCAAGATCAAAATCAAAAACACTTGCACATAGGTGTCAAATCCTACAAACACTGCATCATATTCCCTCTCTCTCCCTCTCACACACACACACACACACACAAAGAGAAAAAACCCTAAAAATTTCATGTCAACTATGGGGGGGGGGGTAAAGAGGTGGGGGTCGTTTTCACCACAAACACTTCACTCTGTCAGAAAATGAAACTGTGTGTGTGTGTGTGTGTGTGCAAAAGAGCTGTGCTCATCAATCCTGCACTGCTTTAATAACCACATTTTTATAACACACACACACACACACGCTGACATATCACTCGCACAGAGTCATTTTCATAGAAATCAGGCGAAGGGTTCACCGAGGTCAGCTGCCATTTGCATACAATCACTTTGGCCATTGTACGATGAGGCCAGGCGCTCAGTAAACCCCCCACTCGTCAGAAACATGATATGATTAACCCTTTCACACAATGAGTTGCACACACACACACACACAAAGACACATACACACAGACACACAGGCTAAGCACTGGCGCCATTACTTTAAGCGCCAACACATTAAGTGGACATTATATCCAGCATGAAATTTTCGTGGCAGAAACTGGCATGTGATTGAGAATTGTGGCTGCACATATGTCTGCCTGCATTAACACTGTTCTCCTCCTCCTTTTTAAAAAAAAATATTTATTCACATGCAAGTGCTGGACACATTTTCTTTTTCAAATGCACGGTTAATGTCAGAGGAAGGTATATGTGTCCTCTCTTTGTGTGTGTGTGTGTGTGTGTGTAACATGGGGAGAGACTGGGGATGCACTATGCTCCTGATGTTTTATTAATACGTCAGTGACAACGGGGATGAAATATCTCCTGTCAGCCGAGGGAGCCACGACTGCAGAAATTGCAGTTTTCACTGCTGCGGCTGCGGCTGCGTCTATCTCTGTATTTTAATTCAGCCCACCTTCATATCAAGGGACAGCGGTGGGATAGAGTGTGTGTGTGTGTGTGTGTGTGTGTGTGCACGGCTGTAAACACTGTAGGCTCTGAACCCCGTCCTCACACTGCTTTGTCTTTTCTATATTTTTGAGGCAAAGTCTGTTTTACTGAATGGTGTGTTTTACTGACGACTGAGGAAAAAACAGGACATTTATATTTGAGGTCAAGGTCAAAAGACTGAAAACAAAACCCTTAATTAAGAGCCTCATCATCTCTATTTTCTTGCTGTCCTTTCACTCATCATGTATTGAATCCTAAACTATAAATCTTGTCATGACTGGTTGAGAATACATTTAATTTACTATCATATACCAAATAATTTTGATGCACAATATATTATTAGAAAATTAAGTAGAAAGCACTTTCTGTAATGTTCTTAGTCTTCTGTATAAATGTAACTGTACATCAGTCCTTTTCCTTATAATTAAACAGATGTTTTCATCCAGGAGAGCAGAAAGGAAATGTGGAGACTAGTCTGTTAAAATGGTCACAAGCAGCCAGTGTTTGATCGTGACAAGACAAAACAAACATTTTAATATAACCTCTAGGGGGCACTCTACCTGTAGCTCGATCGGACGGGGAGAAATGAGAGACAATGAACAGAGAGAAGGAACGAGAGAAGAATGAGAGTAGAGAGTGGGTGAAGTAAGAGAAAAGGGGGGGGTTATCATCTGGGCCTCATCAGTTTTTTTTTTCGCTCTTTTTTTTCCTCTTCTTGTCGCTTAGATCTGTGTCGTGTTTGTGTGTATGTGTGTGTGTGCGTACAGGGAATGTGTTTCCACACTGAAGACATTCCCAGACAAGCTCTCTCAATACATCAGCACAGCGTCTGCCCTCTGACTGACCCTGACAGTTACACACCACACGAGTGTGTGTGCGCGCGCCCGTACGGCGGAGTGTGTGAGCACACATGTCGAAGAGTGCGTTCCGTGAGGTTGTGCACCATTGATCAAGTGTGTGAGACAGAGACTGCATGTGTTTGCATGTGAGTTGTCATGTGCAAGTGTGTATCTGTGTGCAAGGGAGACAGAGGGAGAGAGAGAGAGAGAGAGAGAGAGAGTTCAATGGCAAGGACTCTCAACCATCAACTTAATCACTACCAGAGGACGCACAGAGCACCTTCCACTGCCTCTGTGCATGAGTGTATACACACACACATACACATACAGAGAGAGAGAGAGAGAGAGAGAGAGAGAGGGAGAGAGAGGGAGTGGGTCAAACTGTGCAGGGTGTGTGATTTTGGCAGCCTAGTGGGACTCTCTTTGATGTGGCTGGGTTAGAACATTAAAGCTGGCCGGTGTGCTGGAGCTAACCACAGACGATTGGTCTGATTACCCTGCAACCAACACCAGCATATATTTAACTGTTAGACTGAAAGAATAATTAAGTGATTCCTGATCAGGGATCCTGAAAATAACCCTCAATTTTGAAGGCTCTCTCTGATTGTACAAAAATAACTCCCAAACCTAAGGATTAATGAGAAAGTTGAATGTCTGTGGACAGTACGTCAACATCCTACATCACTGTCAGACACCAAGAAGTTAAATGGGCGAAAAAGGATGGAGTGAAAGACACAGAGAAAGAGACGTTTGGATAGAAAAAAAATAGAGAAATGGGCTTGTGGGAAATGGAGGCAACAGAGGGTGTATTAAAAGTGTCAGTGTGCTGTATGTGTGTGTGTGTGTGTGTGTGTGTGTGTTGGTGCCTCCTAGCTGTATAATGACCTGCTCTGAGATCACTCTCGCCCTCTCCCATCTCCCCCTAAGGGCCCATAACCACCATGCCGGGTCATTATGTGCCCGATGGAGGACTCAGTTGTACAGCGTGCAACCGTGGAGTGGTGCCACGCCGGGAAACTGGACACTGGGGCTCCAAAATGGCTGAATTCATTAGCCGGGGCCGAGCTGCCTCTAATTTGCTTCCTCAGGGCTTGGACGGTGCTCATTAAAGAGGTGAAGCAGTAAAGAAAAAAAAAATCTTTTCTCATATTATTGTTTATCTTAAATCAGAGACACTATGAAAGCCGACCATCAGCTGAAGCCATAATTGCTGCCAAGGAAAACAACATGAGGAATATATGAGCACCGCTCTAATAACAAGATGAAGGAACAGTTAATATATTGCTACAGTGTTTCTCTGTATGCTGCTGTGGTTTATGGCCAACAACAATAGTTTACTCAGATTCGGTCGTTGTCTGTGTCTGTAGTTAGTAACGTCGGTGTAACGCCCACGACTGCCACGTCTCACACACTTATCTGTGATGTTGACGATGATTCCTTCTCACAGCTCTGGTCACGTCCCCTGTGAGACCATGTTTGCATGTGTGCACATGTACTCCGGCCACAGGGGCCCTGTGATGTCACATTCCTGCGCCGCGCGTGGCTCAAGTTTGGCCTTTACGTTTTAAAAGGAAAAGCTTTGAAACATTACACGGTCCTGGACGTGTGCACACCCATACACTCACACACACACACAGGCGCGCACAGTCAAGGGCCAGTGGTAATGCTGCCAGAGTAATAACCTTACAGACTCACTGATCTCCCTCCCTCCCGTTCTCTCACCCTAAAATCTTTATTTTTCCAATTCTACCTCTTCACCCTCCCCTTGCCTGCGTTCTCCCCGTACCTTTCCCCCTGAATTTCAGCGCGTTTAACAAGCATTTAGATCTTAACCAGATGTTGTTAATGTAGCATGTCTAAAATACTAAACATCAACCCAGCAGAGAGGGGCTACAGCTCCTGCACAGGGCCTGGGAATAACTGACAAACACACACACACTCTCACACACACAGAGGCACGCACGCGTTCAGACGTAGACATGAAAACCTCATGCACGTAACACACATTCACTCCCACACAGTGTTCAATGTATTTCTCTCACAGAGGTCCACAGCCCACATGCTAACATG